AAGCTCTCATTTAACGATAAAAATGCTCTCGTGAAAGGATCGATCTTCAAACATGCCTTTCAATTAAACGAACGAACATGGAAAGACGGCATGCAATTTTGTAATACGTGACAATAAATGGAACTTTATATTCTTCAAAGTAAACCTGTTTTTGGACACCATCTGGGAGGCCTGAATGACGAATTATCGAGTTGACATCTGCCACTGCCATTCAACGTATGCGGCTGTTGGGCTACAATTCCCGGTGATCGTACTAGAAAAAAAAAGGCCAACAGAAGCTAGATCATGGTTTTTATGTTTAATAGATCAGGGCATCACTGTTGTATTGTACCTGTTTAATCAGCTGGTACATTCTGTTATCTTCCTCTCTAGTTTGCTACAAGTTACATCAAAAGTTTTGGTTCACTTAAACCCTTCAACTCCTTTGAGTGTCAGAGACAGAACTTCTCCAAAAAATATCAAATACAATATCAAACATACAAATACTGAGATTTAAGAAATGTATCAGCTAGGGTATTAGTCTGTGACCTATCCCAAATTCTCCAAACAAAGAATTGTATGACAGATAGTAAGGACAATTACAAATGAGATCTTGGGAGTTGAGGGGTTGTTAGGATGTTATGTAGCATCAGAGATTGAAGAATTCTCAGGCTACCGCACATAATTTTTTTTTTACCAAGAACTGATATGTAGTTATTCAAGTGTTACTCAAGTCTAATCTTCTGCTTGTTTAGTTTTGATGAAAATCCTTCTTGATGTGAATTAATTATTCAATTTTTGAAACATTAGGAATCCAATGTATCATTACACAAACCAGCACTGGAGGCACTGAGGTCACAAATCAGAGCCAGCACAAGCTCAATGACATCTGTTCCTAAACCCTTAAAATACCTCAGACCACACTTCTCTACTTTGAAAGAAATATATGAGAAATGGGGTGATGGTGAAAATAAAGTAAGTAAGTTAGACTTAACTTAAAACATGCATGCCCTGTTAATGAAGCTGTTTTCCACAAAAGGCAAGTGGTTACACATACCAAAGGTAAAATCTAAATAACTACATTAAAATACAAAAAGACTGAAATAGTCAGGCAAATCTAAGATGATGAGAAGTTGTGAGAATCAATTTGGTTTTTAAAAATAGTTAAGATTGGCATAGTCAAATGTCAAAGGAGAATAAAACGTTTTTTTTCAAGAAAACAAGAACCATTAAATATACATGTGTTTACAACTGATTTAAGACTTAGCAGTTATGCAGGATATATTGTTCCTCTCTGTCAGGGCAGTTGTAATTGACACTAGGGACTCCCTGTATGCCTGTGTAGAGGTTCAGGTTTTTAGTGTAGGTCTGGTTAATATTTAGACTGCAATTTTGTGATGAATACCTGAGCCAGGAAATTATTACTTTGAAGTTTATAATTCTTTTCTTGATTCCTTATTTTGTAATGAATTTTAGAGATTCCTGGCAGACATTATCTCAGTACTTGGCATGACAATCAGTGAAGGCCGGGAGTGTCTGAAATTTAGAATGTTGGGATCAAAAGAGGAACTGGAGTCATGGGGACATGAATATGTCAGGTCAGTAGACTGCTGTCACAGCAGGTCCACACTTTGCTTGGATTCAGCTATGTATAATTATATGTGCTGTATCAGTAGCATGTGTATATATCTGTACAGGCTGTTCATATAAATATTCCCAAAGCAGTTAACAGTTGAAAGGTAAACATTTAAAAAAATGATTCATGGTCACTTTGTACCCTGATCAGATTGTTCCAAGTCAAATCTTTTCACATTATTGTTAGATTGTTCCATAGATATACAAGATACAGGTTTTCAGCTGTCTTATTTAACAATAGAAGATTAAGAGAAATTTTTAAGAATATCTTGTGTACACCAGGATGACTGTGGTCAATATTCATGGTTTTCTTGACGCTCCTGTTTGAAAATGGTTCTTTCTTATATTTTCCTTGTTTCCTTTTTCCTTTGGAAAGTTGTGGCAGAACACTCACAGGATCACACATGTCAGAAGGGAAAATTGGGTCATACATTTATTTCATTGATTCTTGATTCTCAATTCTTAATTCTATAAACTTGATTCTCCAAAATTGAGAGAATAGAGTTTATTTAGTGTTAGTAATATATGTCATAAAAATAAAAATAAAAAAAATTGTATTTAAAAAAATTGAAACTCCAAACTTGGTTTTGGCCTTTTAATTTGTTGGGGATGGAGGATTTAGTTTAAAGACTGTCAGCTTTTGTTTATAAGTGGTACTGTATTTTTGGAACTGTTCATTCATTTCCTCAGTATCTGATTATCAATCCACAGACATTTGGCTGAGGAAATTCGTGGCGAGTACAGTGACAGATCAGACAAAGGAGGGGGAGTGGAAGATCTTGTCGCCCTTGCTAAAGAAATTATACCATACAACATGCAGCATAATGCAGAAACTGAGGCCTGTGACTTACTGATGGAGATTGAAAGACTGGATTTACTGGAGCAATATGTTGATCAAAACAGCTTTCAAAGAGTCTGTCTTTATCTCACAAGGTCAGAAGCTTTATAAACAGATAATAGACAGAAGTGACAGGCAGATAATTATGTTTTTCAGTGTTAAAACTTGGTAACTGTATGGCAGAGAATTGTGTTAAGTAACAAGAGAAATTGCTAGAGAAATGAACTGACCTCAAACAAGCTTTACATCCACTGTAAATTACATGACTGTGCAAATGGCCTTCTGTCTAGTTGAAAAAAAAGATTGACATTTCTTGTTTTTTTTTTCTTGCAGCTGTGTGAGTTATGTTCCTGAGCCAGAAGATAGTACTTTGTTGAAAACTGCATTGAAAATTTTTAGAGAGTTTGACCGCCAGCCAGAGGCTATGAAGTTAGCCATCCAACTGAATGATGTAGATCTCATCAAGGACATTTTTCTTTCATGTAGTGGAAGGTAAGTTCTACATCATGCTTTAGTTACATTTTGGGCTCAGTTGTATGAAGGGTAAATGCTATGCATGGTGCAATTGGTCATCCAGTAGACAATTTTTGACCAAACTTATGGCACAATCCAGCTCTATACTGTTCTCTGTGCCTTTCCTATGTTGCTGACAAGGGAAATTGGGTTAGCAATCAAGAATTTCTTTAGTTGGTGATCACTTCCTTTATTCTGATGTCCTTAATTAGTAATACAACGGTGATATTTTGAGGAGAAATTAGATGGTAGTCACTCATGGAGGTTGAAGGGTTGACTCAGTTACAAAGTGAACAAAGATTGTTTTTCTCCTAACAGTGATGAGAAAAAATTAATCCAGAGACAGATGGCATTCATGTTGGCAAGACAACAAGTCTATCTGGAGCTTGATGAAAACATGGATGACTATGATGAGTTGGTGGAGATCATGTCCAATGCACATTTAAACAACAATTTTCTCAGTCTTGCTAGAGAGGTGATGAACTCATTACAGTTGTAATTGAATTTTTGTTGGTAATTTTCCAACACTCAAAGAGGTTTTAAATAAATATTACAAAACTGCATCTTAGAATATAAAGGATTAATGTACAGTGTACTTTATGTCAGGAATTGTTAAGAAGGGGTCTGAAGACTTCCTCTATCTATACCCAAGAAACATGATCCTTCTGTATGCAAGAGAAGATTATACATATAACTTGACTTCCATCTCCCTGAAATCATACTTAACCCTTTAACTCCCAAGATCTAATTGTTAATTCTCCCCTCCAGCTTCTATACATTTCCTTGTAAATTACTTAGGGGAATTTGGTCTTATATCAAGATAATGACTTTTACCTGATAATATTGAGTATTCTCATCACCCATGTGTGAATAATGTATGGATATTATAGGGAGAAGTTACATGTAAGTCACCTCTGGGAGTTAAAGGGTTGATCAACTGTGATGTACTTGAGAGGGTACATGTTTAAGGCAGAAACTACATATGCAAGGATATTGTTAACTTCACATTGCCTATACCCTGCAGTGCATGACACAAATACTTTGATTACTAATAATTTGATTGTTCATACATTTTGTGGTGCAGTTGGATATCATGGAGCCTAAAGTTCCTGAGGATATTTATAAAACACATCTAGAAAATAAAGGTATGAACTCTATTCTGTTCTTATCTTTTAACAGAAATTTAATTATTGCTTTATAGCCTATAAAACATACATAGATTGTCGTTTTACTTACACTGGTAACTCAAGACAGATGTTTGGCATCCTTCATTTTATAGATTGTCTTATCATAGAGTGTTATTCAGCAAAGGCTGTCTTTCCTATACATTTATCTTAAATTTACTCAAATAAGTGTTAAAATGTTTTTTTCTTTGCTTCCAGGAGTTTCAAGTGGTGTTGCATTGGACTCTGCAAGACAAAATTTAGCTTCCTCATTTGTGAACTCTTTTGTGAATGCTGCATTTGGTGCTGACAAGTTGTTAACAGAGGATGGTAACAAATGGATTTATAAAAACAAGGAGCATGGTATGAATTTATAGCTAGAAAAGCTACTTTTTTAAATTGTGTGTCAGAAATGATCCATAATTGCATTAATTTTTCTTCATTAAGCTCTATGATTTATCAAGAAAACATGCGCCACCTTCTCAACTGAAATGGTTCAAAATTAAAACTAATTCTGTTGGAATTGTTGCTTTCATTTTCCTACACTGTATATTTCAGAAAGTTTACTGGAAATTATTTTGAGGTCTTGTTGACACTCAGCAGGAATTTTAGGTACTGGTACTCAAACTTACTGTTGGTGAGGGGGCCGCGATCATTTTTTTGTGTGTCATACTTGTAATGAAACAAATACCTTGATTCCTTTTATTATTTTCAGGTATGATGAGCACAACAGCATCACTTGGCCTGATTTTGTTATGGGATGTTGATGCAGGACTCACTCAGATTGACAAGTATTTATATTCCACTGAGGACTATATCAAGGTACATGCACAAGGATTTTACAGTACCACAATAACTGTAGCTTATTCTGCTAATTCTGTCCTGTGTATCATCTTACATTCCTGTGCCTCTGTTGGCTTCCCACTGTTAAGTCATCAGTGTCAAAAAAACTTTGTATTGATCACTGCATGGCGAAGCTAGACAGGTCATATGTAGATGTAATAGTCTTTGGAGTCTAGAAAGTACAGGACTGCATAGTTTAAAAGTGCTCATAGATGTTAGTCAATAGCTGGCACCACCCACAGTCCCTTTCTGCACCCAGTAGTATAAATGGGTACCACCATCTACCAGAGACAAAAGTAACAGGGTTACCTACAAAGGACTCATATCTTGTTTAGGAGAAATAGCTGTAATTTTCCTTGTTGCTCTCTATTATGGAACTTGAAATACGCACTATCATTATTGTGCCACAAGCCTTTTAAAACTTAACTTGCAAATAAGGTTGCCTTCTGTAATAATTGTTCATGTAGTTTTTGAAGATTCATGTTATTGCTTGTAGGCTGGTGCTCTTTTGGCTTGTGGCATAGTTAACTCTGGTGTGAGGAATGAATGTGATCCAGCCCTGGCTCTGCTATCAGATTATGTTCTGCATAACAATAACATCATGAGACTTGGATCGGTTGTTGGGTAAGCTGAGGGTTTGGTAATTTGTGTAATTTTGTGATTTTAAATGCACTCTTGAAAGGGTGCGTGTAGTCATGTGAATGTACTATTTCCTCACATGTAAAAAGATGGATGGTGGATGCCTGTGGTGTGCATAGGGTTCTACTGCATCCAACCAACTATCGAATTCTACACCCATGGACAACAAATCCTTGCAACTTATGCACCTGTCAACACTGATTGGATCACTGGTGGGGGGGAGGGGAGAACACTTGAACAAAACATCTAAACAACTATTCCTTTCATTTCTTTGGCTGTAAATGAACATGATTACTTTCCCACAATCATTAAGTCTGCAGAAAACTATGTGCTCCATGCAGTTACCACTTCTATTTCTTCAATTTAGCTCTATGTCATTAAAAAAAAGTTGAAATATCGTAGTTGCATGTTCAGCGACAGTATACGGTCAATTTCCTCCTTGAAGAGGGATGTTTTTCTTCCCTGGGTAATCCTACCTGGGTTTGTTTTTACTCTGGTCTTTGGAACAGTTGAATCATTAGAATTTGCTGTGTAACCACTACATGTATGTCTCTCCCAGGCTTGGTCTTGCGTATGCTGGTTCAAACAGACAAGAAGTTTTGTCCCTGATTCTTCCCGTTCTTGGTGACCCAAAGTCGAACCTAGAGGTGAGATGTTTAACTACTGATTATTTGTACATCTACTCTAAGCTTCTTTTACTTAATTACGATTTGTTTTTTTCGTTGCATAGGTGATTGGTATGGCGAGTATAGCTTGTGGCCTTGTTGCTATTGGAACATGTAATGGGGAAGTTACGTCAACCATACTTCAAACAATGATGGAGCGCTCTGAAACAGACGCCAAGGACACAAATGCTCGGAATTTAGCCCTGGGTCTCGGTTTGACATTTTTAGGTGAGGCAGTAATTTCAGAAGGCAAATTCTCCCAACGTTTGCCTCACTTTTGTTACAGTAAGTTGTCGTGATAAGAATTTGGTTCTCACGCCAACAAAGTGCTTGCGACCGCCTTCGACTTTCTGCTGGCTCTGCTACAGGTCGTTGTTTTAAGTTTGTGTATTTTCTCTGGGGAAAAAGCATTTGCATCTGTTGCCAGCATAAGAAGGTAATTTACAATTTTTCGTTTTCCAGTTTTTAGGAGCAGAGAAGTACCGGTATTTTTCGGTCATCGTTTCTTTTTGTAGATACTTTTAGGGTCTAATTTTGTACGATTGGCTTTTTTTCACTTCCAGGTAAACAAGAGGCTGCGGAGGCTACCCTTGAAGCTCTTAAAGTCATCCCAGAACCTCTTGCGAAGTGGGCAACAATCCTTGTCGAAATCTGTGCATATGCTGGTGAGTTGTGTATTTACAGGCGTGGATGTTGATGTTAAGTAGAACAGAATTTTCTTTGCGCAAATTATTTTAGCGAGGGCTCATTTAATCAAAGGATTTGGAAAACATCCAAAACGATGTCGAAAATGTCATGGAAAGTTATGGAGTTTTAAAATTCGAAAGAGTACGAGGTGGTAGGGGTGGTATTGTTGTGGATGATGCTCTATGGAGAGGTGTCCATTCAACTGAGAAGGTGGTAGTTCAGGGGAACAAAGAAGGAACAGCTTCACTGTACCTAAAGTTGTTGTTTCGATGATGGATGACGATGATAAAAAATAAAATATTAATTTAAATTTAAAGTTTTCAAGGCGCACAAACTGACGTACAGTTGTACAGTACATACGTACGTTGTTAGACGCTTTTATACTGTTGTGTGCAGTTCCTAATCTTATCAAGACCTGATCTTACCTTTCATCTTGCCTGACACAAACTTTTGTTTGGCTTGTATCAGGAACCGGAAATGTTCTCAAAATTCAGGAGATGTTGCACATCTGTAGTGAGCATTTTGAACAGAAAGATGACGAAGAAAAAGAAAAGGATTCCAAGGACAAAGATTCAAAGGACAAAGATAAAGATAAAAAAGAGGCAGAGAAGCCAGATGATGGCAGCCACCAGGGTGTGGCTGTATTGGGCATCGCTTTAGTTGCTATGGGGGAGGAAGTTGGCTCTCAGATGGCGCTCAGAACCATGAATCATCTGGTATGTTAAGAATTTTTACATCTTTCAGGACACGAATTAGTGCCCGCGTTCATTTTTCTTAGGTAATGTTATGCTGTTATTCGTGGTGTTTAAGATACATCCTGGCATTCATTTCCCTTTGCTACGGTTATAGGGATGTGCTTCAGAAAAAGTGACCTTTCAATTTTTTAACGGCCAGGTCTACATAACTTAACTTTGAAATGGTCCATTTGCTAATTTTAGTAAACAGTTAGGTCGAGGGCCTCCTGTATGGAAAGAAAAGTAAAGAAGATCACAAGTTTAATTATCGGTCATCCAATAGTGAAGTACTGAATGTGTTTGTTTTCTTACAGCTACAGTATGGTGAACCCGTGATACGCCGTGCGGTGCCATTGGCTCTTGCTATCCTATCAGCTTCCAATCCACAACTGAGTATAATCGACACTCTTAGCAAGTTGTCACATGACAATGACGCTGAAGTATCACATAACTCCATTTTTGCCATGGGAGTTGTCGGTGCAGGTAAGCTAAAAATAAAAACATTTAAAAGGGAAAACGTCACGGTCTGATGTCACATTGTTTGGCAACATTATTTTTTTTAAAGTCTGCATAAGTTTCTTTAATTTTTGTTATTCATCTGTACAATAAGTCTCGCTGTAGATTCCCTATTTTGAACTGCACGTTTCTCTAAATTAACAGCAAAATTTTTTTGTGCAAAAGAGAAATGTTTTTCGCGAGATTGGTTTTCACACGCAATTTAAAAGGTGGCCTCTCAGGTTTTGCTCTCAAATTTGCCTCCCTTTGAAGCATCTTAGTATTGCCTTGTATTTTTCACCTACAGGTACCAACAATGCACGACTCGCGGGAATGCTCCGTCAGTTGGCCATGTATTACCACAAGGATGCAAACAATCTGTTTATGGTGCGACTCGCACAGGTGAGTGTAAGGCTGTAATGCAGAGCTCTTCGGCAAACGAGCCTGGCTACCAACTTGATAGCAGTCTGTAGTACAGGCTTCACCTTAAGGTCACCGACGTCTGATTAAATTCTGAGCTGAAGTGGAAGGAAGGGGTCTAAAACGAGAAGACGTGTTTTCTTGCGCTTCCGTTTTTTCCCGGACAATCGATGAACGGAATATTCAGGATTTTTCCTTTAATGTTATTCACCCTCGTTATATTAGCCGTCTTAGGAGTGTCCTCATTAACAAAATTCCATAGCAACGGCCATATGTTATTTATGTTAAACATGAAAACCTTTATCGAGTGACAACGGAAACTAAAGAGTTTCTAAAATCTCGCTGTTTGAGACGCGATGTTAATGTTTCTTGGTTCTGACGATACTGTATCTTCGGTTGCCACAACTCGTGGAGTTAGAGATAGCCTTTTTTTACTTGATGAGGGTTGTACAATTTTTACCAATTCAATTTTGTATATATATATTTTTTTTTTGTCATTGGTGTTGCCTTTAGGGATTAGTCCACCTTGGTAAAGGTACGCTTACACTCGGACCGTATCATTGTGATCGCTCCTTGATGATGCCTGTTGCTGTCGGTGGCTTGCTGTCTGTCCTCTTGTCGTTCTTGGATGTGAAGAACGGTATGGAAATATTTCTTTTTTCACTCAAGAAGATTTTTGACATTTCTCGCGGGCGTGGGGCGAAGAAAAAAGTATGGTTTCCTGATAAGAGTACGCTCTCCAACCAATTCCGATTTCGCGATCGGTTACTTAACGAATTATGCTTAGAAGAACTCTATGATAAACTACGCCATAAACTGGGTTCGAATTTTGACATCTAGCAAGTTACATTGCTTGATGTATTGTTTGGCAGGTGATAAGTCCTTTTTTTTTTTTTTTAAGTGTAGTATCATTTGTTTCTATCATGACTCTATGTTGTTTCTCTTCAGTAATTCTTGGTAAATCGCACTATGTGCTGTTTAACCTGGTATCTGCAATGCAGCCTAGAATGCTTGTCACGTTTGACACAGACCTACGTCCTTTGCCAGTCTCTGTCCGAGTTGGCCAGGTGAGAGTGATAAATAGACTTTCTAGTGAAGAGGATGACGGATTTTGATATTTAGCTTGTTGCTCCTTACTGTTCCTTTGAATTGTTTCATCCTAGCCATGTCTCGTTTCTTCTTTATCTATTGAAAGTGGTAAAAACCACCTTCAGCGATTATTTGCGAAAATAAAATGCAACGCATATAAGAATAACAGTCGTAAATTACAGATCTTGACTTGAGTTATTGGGCGTCAAAGGCCATATAGCAGTTTTGATGTCTTTTTTTTTTTTTTTTTTCTATTTCTTCTTTCAAAAGGCGGTTGATGTGGTTGGCCAAGCAGGAAAGCCCAAGACAATAACAGGATTTCAAACTCACACCACTCCTGTGCTGCTTGCGTATGGAGAACGAGCAGAGTTAGCCACAGAAGAATGTATCCTTTACACTTTCTACAACTAATTTGTTTTTGTCCCTGACTCTGGACGAATAGCCTGTGCGCATGCCGTCATAATCAGCTCTTCGGTACGAGTATTTCTTGGCCCACGGGAGGTCTGTAAGGGGTCTGGAACTGATTATTAGTGCCAGACCTCCGGCAAACGCTCCCCCAATTTGTCTCAAATCTTCACGCGGGCGGAAAAAGGCGCGTCCTGCAGCGCTTACTATTAAGGGGCCAGCTCGCTTACTATGAGACGAAATGACGCAATACCGCTTTCATTTTTGTCCGCTCGGGCGTTACTCTTTCTGTCTAGATACGTGTTATTGAAACATTGGCGAAATTGTGAGTTAAACTGCTTATATTTTGCTTAACCATGGATCAGACATTTCGCTCGCGCCGATAATGGAGGGTTTTGTCATCTTGAAAAAGAATCCAGAATATGAAAAGGCAGAGAGCTAAATTGTCGAGACATGGGTGGCACGTTTGTAAATAAACTTTACAACTGGTAATAGACTGCCGAGTAACAGACCTCTTCAGTGCGACAGTGAGAGAGCTAAAACTACTGGAGAACTTTCTTACACCTTAAAAAGCAGCAAAAATATGTTAGTGAACTTTCAACAATGAAGAATGCTTTTGCAAAATAAAATCTTATTTCACCCGTGCTTTGCTGTTTCTCTTCTGTTACTGCTCCCCCACTAACCCGAAGGATTTCTTGAGGCCTTGCATTTTTTCATTCTCATTAATGAGCTTGTAGCCCAAGGGATTTCAGAATCGATTCATTAAAAAAGACAAACAAACAATAAGATATGATTGGGGTTTTTAAAATATTTGGAAGCATTTTCGTGATAGTAAGAAAAAAAAGCAATATCAGAAACGATACTTGGACGATTAATAAAGGTAATAGGACCGTGTGGAATCCAGTTTGGTCTGTAATCATACGAGTGACTAACCAAATTGGACGACCGCGAAGCAGGAGTCCGATTTGTTAATCACGAGTCGAACCGACGGAAAACATTCTCTCCAAGGAAATGACAGCAAGAGTGTAGGTGGAAGTTATGCCTGTAAAAACGTCAGAATCGATATAAATAATGCGTTAAAATCCCAATCAGCAAATCGTCAACAGCTAGGCTAATGGAAGAGAGAAAGCGCGTTTTTGGCGTCTCTGTTGAAAGAACATCCAGATGGTGAGAACATTTCAACACTGATCGAAGTCGCCAATACACCATCAAATACGTTCCCAAAGATATTCCATTATTTAAAATTCATGATATCAGACAATCTTGTTCTTTTATTAAGGAAAAACCTCTACTTTTCAGTTAGAGATTTATTTATCATTACTCTGGTTGTTTTCCTGACGCTTCTTGACAGGACATCATCGCCGGTCTTACACTTTTGTCTGTTCCCGCTGTTTTTCGACTTCTTAACCGTACGGTCTTTCCATGGGTTGGAACTGTCGTTCTCTACTTAACCTGGACTGGGAATTGAGTCCTTCGAAGCCTGTGCATTATGCGTGAGTAGCATATAATTGGGCTTAGCAGAATGCGCACTACTGTTTCTTCGTGTGATCACGGAATCTTGCGGAATTTATTCCATTAAATTTTCCAACTCATCGACAAAGTCTAGAACATCAAACACATTACCAAGCTTCAAATCTGTCTTGATGGAAGAGTAAAAGAATTCCGGACTCTGCAATCAGAGTAAAACAAAATGGACCATTATTGAATATAGTCTGACCTCACTACCTCTGCTTGTAAAGCACTTCGCAGTCAGTTTTCTTGAGGGAATTGTCATGATATAATAATACATTGTCCCAAAAATCATTGAATGGTTATACAAAACCTCTGTGATTAATGTTCACTTTAAAAATGAATGCTAGCAAGAGATTAAGGAAATTAAAAATGTATTCCTTTAGCGTCAAGTGTTAAAGTTCAAAAGCGATCACAAGTAAATTCCCTCACGATTTGCGTGATTTGATGTTCTGCTTGATCAAATGATACGATGCGTTCATACAAATCTACTGTACTTCTTCCTCATTTTAAAAAAAGCCGATTTCAAAACGGCCTCTAAAAATTAGTTTACATGTACGGAAGTACACATGTATGATCTGGCTCAATAACTTGTCCTCTGCAATTCAGATCATAGAGATGAGAGCAATCGAGCGAAATGTTTTAAGGTCTGGGCGTGGAACACTCAATGGAGATCCCTGATTTTCTCTGTGCTGCACTCTAGTGCCAACAATGGCCTATTACTATAAAATAACGACAAAAAGGGTGGCTACCTCCTTTCTAAGATCGTGCAGGCGTAGTAATCTCCGACCATCAAGTCTTTGCAGGGCTTTTGAATCTAACCTGGGATTTAAAGTAGATTAAAAACCATCAGTGAACTAGAATTCCCCTGCGATGAAAAACTCAATTACTCAGCTGTCATTCTGCAGTCACCTATTCTCTAGTCCTATAGCTTTAAGCCAGGTTTTCACATCACTACATGTCCACGATCTGATGGAGGGGTGAGGCGAGGCGTCCACAACATCCTCAACCGCGGCTACAGTTCGGATGGTAAAATTAGATCAATTTAGAAATATAAACAAGATTAAATCAGGTTTAAAAACCAGGGGCGTGGCTGCGAAAAGGGGTAGAGAAAGTGACACTACATTGTGTGGGGCCGGACGCGTTGACACGATCCGGTCTAGGAAAAGCTGTCCGGTCCTGGACTCACACGGCTCTTATACCTCGAACCAAATATTTTTCCGTCCGGCCCTCCCGCTCAGTCAATAAGTACATAACAGTCAAGCCCCAAATAGGCGGCGTTGGATCTCCTCCCTCTCCTACTACCAATTTTACCTGCGCCCTTGATAACAGAAATCCAAATTTTGACGGGTATTGGATTATTCTCGAAAAGCAAACATTCCCCCTCCTCCACCCTGCTATGTAAAATACACATCACCTTATCCCACAAACTGCAGAACTATAATCTGTCACATAGAGCAAAAAAATATTCCGACCATATTTTTGCTTACGTATAATTAATTGATAGCATTGCTACCACCTTAATCTTCCTCAAACAAATTGTTACAAATCAGTTGCAACTTTACTGATTCGTGGTCAAATCTATTTTAAATGATAAAAAACAAGAAGACAGAATAAAAGCGAGTTTTTTGCCGAAACGAATAAAAAGAATCATATGTGCTCGGTTTGTGATTATCTGTACCTTGAACAATGGATTCCACCACCTCAATTTTTCCACGGGTTCCCAGTTCTTTCACAAGTTTGGTCACATTAGAGTCCAGTTTATGTTTCTCACTGAAGTCAATCCAGAATTTGGATCCTACAATGAAGCCGAGCCAACCATCAGGTCTGTATTTACCATCCACCATCAAAGGAATGACGTCTTTTCGTAGCTGATATGTGTACTCTGCCTCTAAATAAGTTCGACAAAATAAAATATTCAAATGCTATCAGAATCTAATTAAGGTAACGTATCGTATTGAAGAATGTGCAAAGAAACAACAGCTGAGTGGAAAATTTGATCCAATACATTAGTCTTGCGAGTCATTTTTCTGTCGAGCTGTAAGTCATATAAACACTTAAAACTATTTAACTACTAATACTTCTTCCAGGAGTTTATAGTTTTGTTGACGGACATCTTAGGATTTATATTAGGAACTAGGTTTATGCTACCATGCGAATTTTCAGGTACAGATCATTTAAGCCCAAGGTTTCTTGTTTTTGTCAATATCCTTAATCGAAGTTAGAAATTGACTTCCAAAATTTCATTACCTGATCGACAGTTAGGACTCTCCTTGTATTTCTGAGACACACACACCAACACCACACTTGCATTTTCCACAGCCTTGGCCATACTTTCTAGAGTAGAGCCACCCATCTCATCGATGTCCATCCAAACCTTGAAGCCACCCGCTTCAAGTTTGTTTTTGATCTGAACCACGAGTTTTTGTATATCCCATTGGTAACTGATCATAACGTGCTTGGCGTCTGTAGAAATATACAATGAAGGCTAAATGATGCAGAAACAGGTACGACCAAGGTAGACCACAATACAGGTGTCCTTTTTTTTTTGCCCTTTTCGGGCGAGTGGAGAAGGTGGAAGGCAAGAGCTAGAGGAGCGCAATGGGTGAGTCGCACGCAAGACGAAGACCGTGTATGCCTAGTGTTTTTTTTACTTTTATTGCTTACTGTTTATATAACGGAACTTTCGCGGGGGCGGTCCGTAGCTTATCAGTTTCAGCAGATCATGAACACCCTTGAAAGATAAAGAATGGATCCTTGCACAATTGAGTTAGGAGATGGACAATATGAAGGCGAGAGAGGCAATGTGATCCAGTACCTTGGGTGCTAGACACAAGTTAAAGCCCTCTATCCTGCTACTCAAGGGGCTGTCGTTGTCATGATTACAAGTCCATATTCTTATTTGTGCTCTGGGAACTGCTGACTGACTTTACACAGTACTCTTTCCCAGCTGGAACTTGCAAACATGCTTACTTTGAGGCTAGAGGGAAAAAATTTCCTTCAGGGGCATGCTTCGCCTTCAAGCTTATTGTGTCCCAGTTTTTGTCCACTTCATACATTTCTTAGTAACTTGATAGTGAAGTAGTGTTGTCAGTAACTGTAAATAGACTCTACAGATGTTTGCTTAGCAACAAGGGTAAATTTTGTGAGAAAGAAACAGGAAATCAACAGTACAAAGCTGACTTATGAAGGACTTTCACTAAGCAATCCTGCAAAATACTTAGCATGCACATTGTGCACACGTACCTGTTATCTGTTGCAATCCAACTTTCTGCTTTTTTTCCTCTGCATATCTTTCTTTCCCATTGCATTCCCATAGTGCACCAGCAGCAGCTCGCTGTATTTCAATGTTCTCATCAGTAAGAAGTTTCTCAAGTTCACTTATGGCCTGTTCATTGGCTTTAATTTCCATCTGATTTTCCTCATCAAATGCCAAGGTCCAAAACGCATTGCATGCATTGAGTTTCTCCTCATTATCTTTTGCAGTTTGGAGCATCCTTACAAGAATTTGAATGGCGCCACATTTAGCAATCTGAAATAGATAAAGAGATTCAACCCCACAAACACATGGTGCCCAGAGGTTCCTCTTTGGGATGCTTTGATCATGAAGATCATGCCCTATAACCAACCTAATTAACACTTTTATACCTTACACTGCCTCTGACCCATAAATAACTTTATTCAGTATTCTAAAGGTAATACACACTTTCTACACCTTCATTGCAAAATTCCTATCCTTTCATAAACATCTGACTAGCTCAAAAACAAACAGAGAATTTCACACAGTGGAAACTGTACCCCTGACCTATAAGACAGGTTCAAATCTGCAAGAGGCCAGATGCGCTTAGGCCCTAGTTAGACTCTTATACATACTGCCGGCCTGAAATGGTATCATTTTACAATCATGCAGTCATATTACAACTCCCATCCCCAAAAGATGTCAGGTCATAGTTTTGTATGCATTACTTGCATTGCACTTGCTAGCAAATGAAGTTGATCTTTCCTTCCCTGTCTGCATTTTTGGTGAGCAATAAACAATCAAAACAAGATAATAATCCCATCTTATTACCATTTTCTTGTTGTTATCATTGACTGCAATTTGTGTCAATCCTTCGGCAAGCTCTGATGAAGAGAAGCCTATACATCTATGATTTGAATACGACAAAGACATCTTAAGCAAGTTTGTAAGAAGTTTGATAGGACCTGAAAGGTGAAATTCAAAAGATGAAATTATAAAATAATAAATTACAAGATATTTAACAAAACATCTTTGCTATAACACCATTTAATTTGAATTATCACTTGCAGTGAGATTTTGAGGTGTTACCATGATCATAAATCATAACATTGAAACTAATCTGCTGTTAACAAATATAATAATGGAAACTACATAACAATTTAATTTAACACTTTAAATCACTTTCAAAACAAAATGATATCACTTTAAGCATAAATTTAATAATTAGCTGCCTATAGCCGTTCAACAAATTTGGTTTTCAAAGAGTGAAACTCATTTAAAGTCTCAGCTCCCATTAAAGCTGACGCCAAAATATTTCTGTGAATTTTACCTTCATCTGCCATGATCATGTGATTGTTACTTTCATCAATTAAATAAGCCAAAATAAGCAAACATTTGGCACCAAAAAGAGCCACTTCAGCCTTAAGAAGAGGAATGAGTGTATCTAATGCCTGACAAGCAGCAAAGTTCACCCTGGTAGGTACACGTTTAGACAAGTTATGAAGCACTCCTAAGATCCTTGAAAGCATTCTGCCTCGTACTGTGAAATTTTTTATATGCTGTGTTTGGGGATTCTGTTAATTCAAGATTACAAAACATTAACAGCAATAAAAATCACTGAATATTAGATACAGTAGAACATCGCTAACTTGAACTCCCAAGAAATGGTTAACATCAGTAGGGGTTTAAGTCAACTGATAGTAAATGAATGGAAAAATGGGGTTGAGGGAAATCAGATCTTGTTTGAGTTATCAAGGTATTTGAGTTAACCAAATTCAAGTTGGAGGGGTTCTACAGTATGATAATAAAAAAGAAAAATACTAAAGAAATCATTAATGATTATAATAATAATAATAATAATTATAGTAACACAGCTGTCAAGGAAAATGAAGAGAAAAGTGTAAATAAACATCAGAACCCTGAGAGAGAGACTAAGTAAATGTGGAGATCAAGTCTGAACTGGTGTAACGTTCCATTCATATTAGGGGCGTAGGGAACAGTCCCTAGAGAAGGAATCTTGGGAGTATTGGTATGGACACTCAATTGAACCTCACACAAATTACTTTCAGTGGAGCTGTAGTTATAATCTTTAAAAATGTCATAGAGCATTAAATGACAAGCTGAAGAGTGGCCTTTTTTCATTTTTTAAAAATTGGTCATTTGAGGTTTAAAATCAAATTTGTTATGAAGAGGCAGGGGGGAGGAGAGGGTATCCAAAGAAAATGAAGTATGAAGTAAGGATCTACGTACCACAAATTTTACATTGTGAGAAATTGCATCTTTGAGTTCTTTTGTCATCTCAACAAAAATTTGGACAATGCCAACATTGCTGCAAGCTACACAGAATTGATCATGAAGGTCTGAGAAATTCAAAAGCACTCCCACTAGCTTGGTAATGATATCTTGGCACGAGTTCAGTGATTCTTTCTGGTTTTCATCATCTTTAACCTCCTTTAAAGATACAAAATCAATAAATATTACTTTTGATAAACTTTATCAGTTAGGGTGACGATATAAATAAGTTGTGATCCAGTTGCAAGACACAAGAATAAAATCTCATCTAAATTCTTAGCAATGTTTACCTTAATTTAGTTCAAATCATCGTTTGTTTCCTATAATTCGATTGGTTAATTTTGTCTAAGAGACCTTAGAAATAGCTCTGCTTCTGCAATAAGCAAGACACTTCCCATCACACTAAGCTGTGTGTAGCAATAGCTAGATACAGATATCAAACGAGCGAGGCTTATGAGTATTACCAAACTACGTACCTTAACTTGCTTGTCAGCACTTGTCATCTCATTTACTGTCCCCTGCACAGTGATATCATTTTGCCTCTCCCTGTCCCAAGAGGTAAGCTCTTCGTAATTTATTCTGCATTGAACAATTACTTCATAGGCAAATTCGGGAAATCCCAAAGCCGTAACAAAATCAGATAATAACATCCTATCGCTTGGATTCTTGATTTGGACGTAGCTTTCGTGCAGGCCTTGTACAATTGTTAACGTGGTTGGAGAGATAAATATTCCATCATTTTGAGCTGCCTGCAAGGCCTGAAAATTTTCCGTAGTTACAGTGAAAATCGGACACATCTCCGGATGTTTCTCGCTGAACAAAGCCAATGTCAAGCTCGGATCGAGATTATCGTGCGCATCTGCAGTTTGCGTGTTTATGTTCGCTCCGGCTTCACCTTTTGCGTCGAATGAAGTTTGTTGGACGCGAAAATTGACGTCAACGGAGTTTCCCGTTCCAACTTCAGCCATATTGGTGTGATTTATCCTTGTAGAGCTTCCTGACCCTATCAATCAATAACCACACGAAGTTTACATAGTAAACCAGCAAAGTGTCAGATGAGCACAATAATCACATCATAGCAGGAGCCTATTACATCACCAAGTAATAGGCTCCTGATCTTAGCAACAAACTTCCTCAGGCGAGGGCAACAAGCACTCATCTTGATTCAGAGGGAGGGGAGGGAGGAAATGCCTACGAAAGACCTCTGAAGAAAAGTTTATGGTGGGAGGGGGGAGGAAGAGGGCAAGAAAATGGGTCTTAATGTAGCCTGCGTTGCTGGCGGTCTGCGGTTTTGGGCCCCGCAGACCGCGGGTGGGTGGGTTTCTCGTAGATTATTGGAAAAAAATACATGCCCACGGACTGACAAAAGCTGCTCTAGGACAAATAAAACAAACAAACGAATAAGATTTTCTCCCTAAATGCAGAGAGCAAAATTCTTGCATCTTCTATAACTTTTCTAATGGTCCATCAAGAAAAAACACATCGCCTCTCTCTATTGTACATTCAGTATGAAAGGACGTACTTATTTTTAAACTCAACAATTTAGTTTTGGAGATTTGTAGTAAAACTTGTAAGTTAAAAAATAACCTGTTTGTATGTCAAAAACGCACAGGTTGCTTAAATAGTCAATTTGACTAAAAAATAACACTGGGATAAATAATTGACAATTGTAAATAATAAATACATATCACTGAAAAGCTGCCTAGTCCACCTATCATAACGACGTTAATAAATATATATTTTCTTTTTCTCAGAAAATTCAGTGAAAATATGAATTAAAATTAAAAGAATTTTGGCGACGGGTCAGGCAAAGACAAAAATCGACGTTCCGCAATCGTTTCCTTCACAACTGCAAACGCCGCTTTTTTCGCTTGCCCTCTCTTTCGTCTTTTCCAGTGAATGAACGCTTGCAATTGTGTAACCTTATCCCTATAATGCAAAAATGTTATAGCAGAAAAAACACGTTCGCCTCAGCGTAACTCGAGCTACGGTTGCTTCCTTCTAAAAGCTTCATGGCATGATGTTTGCTAAAATCATCACATTTACGGAGTGCAGAAATTTGAGGGGCAGTTTTGACAAAAGAAATGTCCTCGTTTTGCTTTCTCTCTTTCTGTATTTATTCATTTATTCAGTATCAAAACCATACTTATAATTTGGTAATTCCGCATCTTTAGCCAACTTCTGCACCCGTGACATTTTTCTCTTGAATAAGTGCTTGCTTGGTTGGACAAGACACGAAACATTTCATACTTTATGTGATTGTTTGTTTAAAGTTTTCCCGGGAGTTTAACGACCAATCACCGCCCCAAATTCTCGGGTCAACACTAATGGCGCGGTGCGCTCGATTGGAGAGGTCCCATAGCTAAACTGTGCGACCGAAACATAGTCGGGGTTCAGATTTCTTGCACAACATCAACTATCCGTCAGAAAAGGTATTTATGACGATCTATGATGTATTAGTCGCAGACACATTACTCCATGGGTAAATCTCCTGTAAACGGAAGCATGTCGACAGCAAATCTATGCATCCAGTTTTTCCAGTGCATCTGTGAACTTTAACAAATCAAATAAACTTTCCAGTTTGAACTCTGCTTTAACTGATGCGTAAAAGAAATCCGGGCTTGTCTGCAACAAAGAGAAAACTTCGCAGTGAGATCTAAAGAAAATATAATTAGAGTCCCATCTTGTGCAACTGCGTTGCAGTAGGCTGCATACAAATCGAAAATGTACTCTACAGAGCAAGAGAAAAGAAATGAAACTAATCCAAAAAGAAAGTTTGCATTACAATATCAGAACTTGCTGTCAAACAAGGGAAGACATTCCCTTAAGAAGCGCTTTTCGATTAAGTATCGTAAATTAAAACTAGATTTATCACAATGGCTGATCAAGCCAGAAGATGACCTTCAAAGGTTAAGAGAACTGAAAGAAAGTATACCTAATGAACAGAAGTAACCAAAGAGTAGTTGGTTCAGTTTTGCATCTGATTGGTTAAGTGTTCTGCACCCGTGTTCAAGTGTTCTGGACCAATCACGAAGTATAATGAGGCAGAAACCAACCCAGTCCCCGATTACTTTCGATATGGCTCTTTACTGAATCCTACGAAATTTAAACGTGTGATGGCACAACAAAAAATCCGGAGCGACTCTTTTCAGTGCGACGTTTTTGCTTACGAAAAGGAGATCCGCAGTGGATTTGCCACGAGTGAACTCAGGAACATGTCCGTTCACTCTAACGAAGGGCTAACGCTCGAAACGTTATCTTCCAACTCTTTACGGTGGCCAATTTACGTTGTCAACTCAATTAATACCAAATTACCACAGTTTATTTAGAAACTTATCCCCTTCATACATGTACATTATCCCTTGGTTACTCAAGTTTCTTTAGAGAGAAGTGCGTCGTGTGGACATAACTAGTTTTCATCAGTTGCAGGAGGGGTAGCGCTTTATTAGTTCTTTACCTCGTTTACTGAGGCTTTCATTATCTTATCACTAGATGGCGTATAATCAGACCAGAAGAACAGATAAAAGGACACACCTCTTTTCTGAGACCTTGAAGACGAAGCAACATCTGACCATCTAGTCGCTGGACAGCCTTTGGATCCAATCTGCGAGATTAATTGAAAGAAAGAAATTAAAATTGAAAGAAGATTCAGAAACGAAGGATTAATCAGAAGCACGCTTCACTTCACTCTAACTCAGCAGAAAACTTCCAAACAACCCTAACAGCTGACGCACTTAAATTGCCTATCGACAAGAGTACATTAGATTTGGGATTTCGACGGTCGGCAGGAGGTCGATAGTGCGCTAGTGGTTTCATTTTTATATTTTTGCTTTTATTTATCGCTTTTTTCATAGTTGGCCTTTGACAAAACATGCAGTCCTAATTCCCTAGTGCAAATTCTTGAATACAGAAAGCCGGGATGCCATTCATTCCAAGATTCATTTAGTGAAGCTCGAAAGTTTTTGACTTTGAAGTCGCACTAACAAGCAGACGACAAACTCATCAGCCCCAGAGCTGTAAGTGAAAAAAAAACTATTTTGTAATTCAGAAGCTGACCTGTTTTCCAGTCCAACATCATTGAGCCACTTTTTAACATCGCCACATGTCCACGATTTGATGGAGGTCTGAGGCGAGGCATCAACACTATCCGCAATCGCGACTGTCATAAAATAAGAGTTAAATCATTACGACTAGTAATCAAATGATTGTTTGTGAGCATAGATAATCATAATAAGGGTCCTAATCAATCCAAAAGAAAAAGGATACAAAAGGTCTCCATTGAAAATGATATACTTGAAAATAAATTATTTAATTCATTAAAATTTGAGAAAAATGTCGGCTACATTGTCAGCCTTCACCTTTCCTCGCATCCCCTTCCTCTCCCCCCTCCCCTCCCTTGATAAACGTTAATTTTTTAGCCACCACTAATAGGTTTTGTGATACTTTCCCTGTTTCATCAGTCCAATTTTCCAAAGTAGTTTTGACAATACATATACACTATTTTGGAGTTATTCCCACTCGTTTCCAGTCCCTGTCTTCCAGATTAACGCCCACACCACTATACCTGGTTTAATTCCTATGCCTTGACCAATAGGTTCCTGCGGGTCAAATTTTCCTCTATTCCCCAGTTCCCTTATGAGTGTGTCCAGGCTAGAGTCCAGTTTATGTTTCTCACTAAAGTCAATCCAGAATTTGGATCCCACAATGAAGCCGAGCCAACCATCAGGTCTGTATTTACCATCCATCATCAGAGGGATGACATCTTTGTGTAGCTGATATGTGTACTCTGCCTCTAAATAAGTTCGACGAAATAAAATATTCATATGTTATCAAAATATAATTAAGGTAACGTATCGTATTAAAGAATGAGCAAAGAAACAACAGCTGAGGGGAAAATTTGATCCAACACATCAATCTATTTACCATGATACCGTGATGCTTTGGCATTCCGAGGGCGGGATGACAATTCTCTTTTTCATAACTTAAGAAATAGGTTATTATTCTAGATTATAGTTTCTAATGACAGCCTCACAAGAAGAATCATGAGTTGACTTCCAAAATTTCATTACCTGATCTACAGTTAGGACTCTCCTTGTATTTCTGAGACACACACACCAACACCACACTTGCATTTTCCACAGCCTTGGCCATACTTTCCAGAGTAGAACCACCCATCTCATCGATGTCCATCCAAACCTTGAAGCCGTCCGCCTGAAGTTTGTTTTTGATCTGAATCACGAGTTTTTGTACATCCCATTGGTAACTGATCATCACGTGCTTCGCTTCTAGAAAATTTAAAACGAAATTACAAAAAAGTCATAATTTACTACAAATAGGTACTCTTATCATTAAGATATTACGGAGGTTTCCTAAAAAGGTAGGACTACTGTTTCCAGTAGACCTAGGAGTATTGATTGGCTTAGCCACACAACACCACCCAGTTTAATGTGATAAAGAAAAGTTAGAATCTTTAAGTGCGCTCATAAAATGACAGTTACATAAAAAGAATGCTGTTGGTATAGGTATACAAATGCTATGGTATAGGTTCAGGACTTTTTTTGTATTTCACCGTGAGAAAGGCTGGTGAAACTTATATCATTTGTGAAGCTATAGTAGAGACTGACTGTTTGGGCGAATACGAACCCGATATTTGCTCCAATGTGACTGTTTGCTGTTTCTCTTCAGCGTGTTTTTCTTTGCCTTCGCATTCCCACAATGCACCAGCGGCAGTTCTCTTTATCTCACTATCCTCACTTGTGGTCAGAAGTTTGCGCAGCTCAAAAAGTGCGTAATCATCACTCTTAATCATCTGCCTATTTTCCTCGTCAAAAGCTAACGTCCAAAGTGTATTACAAGCTTTCAGTCTCTCCTCATTCCCCTTTGCATTTTGAAGCATTTTAACCAGGATTGGAACAGCTTCGCATTGACCAATCTAGAGCATGGATGAAGTGAGATGTACAGTTTATCTTATTAGGAATTAACACCAACTCGAATTTTAAAGGTGTGCGCATGCTTTCCCTGAATGTTTTCAAGTTAAGCCATACCGAGGCAAGAGTTGAAATACCTTTTTCCCTAAGCGGCTACCGATGGTGTTGTATATACCGATGACGTCTGTGCCCGAAAAGGGGCTTTAAGACGAAACCGAGTAAATAGAAGGCGGCAGGAAGTCTTATGGGCCACGGTAGACCGCTGCTAAACGGTTGTTATTAGAACCACTGCTGAGGTATATGTTGTCTAGAGTTTTCATGATTGATAGAAAAGTTGTTTCGTGGGAGTCTACAATGTACTGCACAAAACGCTGGCAAAACAATCGAACCCAAACAAAAGAGTAGAAAAAAAGGCAAAAGATCCTGCGTCGTTTAGATACGGCGTTACATAAATGTGGATATTTGATTTAATAACTGTAAAATTATAACACTCAATATCGATAATTAGAAAATCGGGGAATTTTCTTTCATTATAGAATTATCAATTCGTGACTTTCCTTAAATTGATCATTATGAATTTAGCTGAATTTCCCTTACATAAAACTAGGCACATAGTGGGTAACTGACCCGTGATTATTTTGCAAATGAACGTCAAAATCAATACCGTTTTCTTGTTATTATCGTTAACAGCAATTTGCGCCAGTCCCTCTGCTAGCTCCGATGCTGAGAGTCCCAAATATCTGTGAGTGGTTGATCCGATGGCTTTCTTCAGTATAGTTGTAAGGAATTTGATTGGTCCTGAAAGAAAAGACAAGATATGGTCGTTTTGTGAATGAAGTTGTTTCGTAGCCTTTCGGAGCAAAGGAAAAGTTCTTGCCATACCATGGTATTGAATCTTAAATTTACAACAAATCAAGCTTGTTAAAATATCAGGGAAGGAGGCCTAGTCTAATACTACTCGTTTACAGACCACCTGCAGTCCCTGCTTTTCGGCGAAGTCCGTCGCATAAGTCATTGATTTTTCGCGCGAAGGACTTGTCCCAAAAGGAAGGATTGTTCGTAGTCTTAATCCTTCACAAAAAAGGGGAAAAAAAGTCACCTGCAGGCCAAAATACGGCTTGTTTCATTTAATAATGACTTTGCTTTTTCTTTCCATCACAGGATCAACCAAGTGGACACAAGACAAGAAATGGTCAGAGGATAGCGGTGTAAAAAGTCTCATTATGATTTCTGTTTTTTTTTCTCCAACATAGAATATGCTATTACCTGGCTGAAATTCGATCATCCAGGCCTCGATTATCCGGATTTTTCAATTAACGGGATTCGTTTCTATGGTCCCATTTTTATGAATATAAATTAGTCACAATCGAGATCCGTAACAACTTTTTCCCACCATACAAAGCACATGTACTGAATCAATGTTAACGCTATTCCATTAGTGCAGCTTTTTGTAAATACTTTGGCAAATTTTGGTAATGATGCATAAAAGATTTGAGAGTCTCCATAATTCTTTCGTAATGTTGATTAAGTAATATTTATTTTGTTTAATTTTTGGTTGATTTATTTTAAAATTTTCGATTATCCGGACTCTCGTTTATCAGGACGATTCAGCCCAGTCCTCACGAGTCCGGATAATCGAGGTCAGATTGTATAGGGTTGGACGAAGGTACCTGGATGCGTAAACTGAAGTGTCAGCGGCACAGGCAAAGGGATGTGGAAAAAGAGTCTGTATTTTAAGGTAAAAAATGAATCAACTCTTAATCCCACTCATATATATACCTTCGTCAGCCATGATCAAATGATTGTTATCTTCATCAATCAAACAGGCCAATACAAGTAAGCTCTTAGCACCAAAAAGTGCCACCTCTGCCTTGAGAAGAGGAATAAGTATATCCAATGCCTGACAAGCAGCAAAGTTCATCCTGGTTGGCACACGTTTAGACAAGTTATGTAGGACTCCCAACGTCCTGTTTAGCATTTTTCCTCGCGATGAGTACTTAGATAAGTACTGTGTTTTGGGATTCTGTTGATTTCAAGATAAAATAAACAAACACACAAATAAACCAAAAAGTGAACAAATAGACAGTTGGCTAATAAAGTGTAAGCAACAGGTGGGTATTCCAGGCTGCTAACAAGCACAAGGAGTTTGAATTTTTTTCTTTTTGTCATTTTTCAGGTGAGGGATTTCAACGTAAGTGTGCGGTGAATGCAAAGGACAAGTCTTACCCCTTTCATTTATCATACATGTCTCCACTTGCCACACAGACATACTCAAAAAAATACCTGTCTTACAGATTTCCTTGCTGCCAGCATTTACAAACAGCTCTGCCATGTCTATACTTTCTGGGAATGCTCAATACCTTAACCCCTATAATTCTAGAGATCTGATGGCTAATTTTCACCTCTTGCTGTAATTAGTTACAAGATATTGGTGTTAGATCAAGATAACAACTTCTGTCTGATAAGTTTGAGTATTATAATTGCCTGCTTGTTGGTTACTGTATGGATAATATAGGAAGAAGTTACATGTTGATCACTTTTGAGCATTAAAGGTTCATATTACATGGAATAAAAAAGGAAAAACAAAAGTGCTCATGCAATAAGTCTTAAAGAGATTTAAAACACATACACAAGTTGATGAGACTTACCACATATTTTACATGATAACTTATTGTATCTTGTAGATCTTTTGTCATGTCAATGAGAATTTGAACCATCCCCAGATCACTGCATGCCAGGCAGAATGAATCATGGAGGTCAGTAAAGTTCATTATTACTGCTAGCAGATGGTTTATAATGTCCTGTGACATCTTCAGTGCTGCCACCTTTTCTTCATCCTCTTCTGACTGTTAATAATTTTTGCAATTGATGAGTAAAAAATTAGGTTCATGAATCAGATAAAGTATTATATGACGATGCACTAGGAAAAAAAACTCAATTAAGATACACATTTCTTCAGTGTTAGGTATTATGTTATTTTAGCCAAAGGCATTTTTTATACTATATTATACAATATAATATAATATATAATATATATTATACAATATACTATACTATAATATACTTTTAGATTGAATATCATAAAATTATACATCACATCATATCCCAAAAGGCACAAAGTCCCATGGAATTTATCAACATTAAAAAGGTTTAAAAAAATGTATAACAGAAACAGTTTGATCACTTTTAAATCATTGTGAAAATTTTTACTGACATAAAATTGCATCAGACAACTGAATCCTGACTGTGATATTTTGTTTCTTTGTTTGCTTTTTGCTGCATTGACTGCCTACAGGGAATCTTTCATCACCTATCTTTCTTTGAAACATTTCAATATTTTAATTTATACTCTCTGATAACTAAACAATTGTTCTAGCATTAATTATTGCTCAGTGACAGTCAACAGAAGAATTCTGTATTTACTACTAACAGCTGTATATCGATCAGCATATCAATTATTATTACATGCATTTTAATAATAAATGATAATGTTAAAAATCCTCCCTGTACTTTCTATCGGTACTCACAGCTTTCTCTTCCTCATTTTCACCCTCTTGAACTGCCTTTGGGATTTCATCTCCTCCTGGTGGTTTTTGACCATTTACATCATTTGCTTCCTGATCCTGATTGAGAGTAACATCAGCCCGATCAGCCTACAACTTACACTGGACCTCTGTATTACAGCAAACCAAGCTTACAGGGATATTTTTAGTCATCAATGACAGTACTCAAGTGAATTTTGATCGAAACATCACATAGCAGTAGAGGAGATGATAAGCTGACCTCGTCCTTGGTACTTGCTGGGGGGTCACTATTCCCTGTCCCATGAGTTTTCCCATGGATCCCTCCTTCTTTAACTGGTTGAACATCCGGCAAGGTACTGTCAAGGTTCTAGAAAGTAATTTGATAACACCAGATAAACATATTTACATGTATGTATGAGTCTGTCCTGCAAAACTGAGCTGACCAATCCAACATGAATAATTTGTAGGCAGGAATAAAATATGCCAATATACTGTACATTACTTCAATTTCTTGATTAAATAATTAAGTCATTTAATTTGCCAAAAGATATAAAAAAAGCATGTCATATGTAAAAAAGGTGAAAAATGGAGAATACAAAACTATAGTTCAGAGCATAGAATTTACAAAGCTTACTTGTAGTAGTGAAAATAAATTAAGCAACTCTAGTTTTTAGATTGTTGTCTTCTACACAAATGGAAGATCACCCCTATGGCATGTGTAAGGGGTAACTTTGATCAGGCACATATTAGTAACCTGACTGTTTTGCCCTTTCTTAAAATAACATTGTTACTATATTAAATAAATTCCCTGAACTAAGTTGTCAACTTCTTAGCCATTACTAATCTAATAGTTCTAAATTCACCTTGTTTTCATCACCGACAAGAGTGTTGTCATTTGCCTCCTCCTGATTGCCTTGTTCTTCTTTCTCCGTATCTTTGCGAACATTCCTATCCCAAGTTGTTATCTCTGGATAATTACTTCTACGATCAACAGTTATATTGTAAACAAGTTTATGTATTCCCACAGCCAAAGCAAAATCTGTCACAACAGTTTTGTTTGATCTTTTCCTGCACTTTGAGTAAACATCAATTAAAGCTTTAGCGTGTTCAAGTGACGGTTCTGTCAAAAGATTTCCATCGTGAAAAGCTTTATTCAAGGACTGGTAATGCCTGTTCGTGGAACTCAATCGTGTTTCAAGTTGAGGATCATTTTCGCAGAGCGAAGATATGAGTATCTTTTCGTCGCCATCATCTTTGGTCATCTGTTCATTTTCTGCAGAAAAACGATCAGTCACGGGTTTTCCTTTTCTGGTGGTCGCGTCACATTCATCTTTCACATTTCCGTTGGCGGATTTTGCATCTTGGGAAAGTTTATTGTGACGCTCTTCAGAGTGGTATATGTTCTCAATAGCTGTTTGTTTACCGTTTGACCTTGCATGGGTTTTTATTGCCTTTCCTGTTGTCTTAGAGGCTCCACTTCCCATCGGTCATAAAACATAAGGTTATTATCTATCATTGAGAACACTAGCCACCGATGATTCGCGCGAATTATTATTTGCGTATTGTAGCCGCCATATTGTTTGGCTTCAGTCACCCTAGCAACCAAGCCTAAATTGTAATCGACACAGCTGCGACAGCGGAGACACCGAGGTCAGACGTTTGCGCATGTGCAACGTTGTAATGATTATAAGCAACGAAATGGGAGCAAATGTACCCTTTTTGCCGCTGTGTTGGTGTGTCGATTAGCAATAGTTGAAGCTCTTTAAGGAACCAAGTGGTCTCAAACGAGTTACAAACAACCACACAAGCCAATAATTCACGGTGTTTTAAAAGTGTATAACCTTTTTCAATGCTTCGTTACTTTGTTACCATGTCGGATTTTTTGCTCACTGTTCGTACCGTAGCGGCTATAGATTCAAGCTACAGAGTCTTCTCAACATAACTAGGTACGTGGTTTCAGTTTTTCGCCAAATTTTTCTGTGATAATATTCTAGCGTATGTGATATGTATTTTTTAGGCTGATGAATTGACCGTGTTTAAATAAAAATAAAATGAAGGAAATGAAAATTAAAATGCAGGAGGAAACAAAGTTGTCAATCTTCGACTGTACTGCCAAAATAAAAATGAACTCGCATTTATTATGGATTATTTTCTTCTTCCGCTTAGAAATAAAATAAGAGTCGGGCTTCATCCATAGTAGAAAGCTATTCGCCCTTTAATTGAAGACCCACTGCTGTTCCTCAACTTTACAGTAGCTGTTGTTGAAAAATAGCTTGTTTATAGGTGAGATACAAAGGCAACAAAGCGTATAGCATATGAAGACTGGAACAGTAAAACGTTCTTCTTGATCTCTTTCTTCCGACTTTGTCTCGTCAAATTTTGGTCTGACAATGCTTGTGAATTGTTTAGAGTAGCTGTTTTTCCCTCGTTCAAAAAGAAATGAAACCCGTACGAAGAATTTAAGAATCATTTCGAATGCTTCGATTATCTGGATCCATTCGCACGACTTTTTCAGCCCGTTTTATTTGAATGACAACATCATTCTTTTAAGCAAATTCTTTGACTTTATTTCTAGAAATCAGGTCAAAGACGGAATCTCTTTATAACACTGGATATTGGCATCAGCTTGTTAATTTTCTTCTATTGTTAAATTCCGACGAAAGTTTGTTTTCTTTTAAATTTTTTCTACCACCCTTCCCCCCCTCACCTCCCCCCCTAAAAACCATAGCAGCTGACAAAAAAACAGCTGAACGAATTAAAAGAGCCTATATTTAACATGACGTTTTAATAGCCTTTGCATTAAGTCAATTATTGAGCACGCTATCGTAAAGAAGTGACAGCTTGTTCACATCTGTAATTTTTTTTTTATGAGACAAATTGGTTCTGACAGATGTCTCGTCCCGTGGTCGTTTCAACGTTTGAAAATAAGGAAACCACCGTCAACAGTAATTAGGGGTCCTTAAAAGCGATTGGAAACGAACAACGATCCAACCACTAACCATGGATAGCCATTTGTATAAAAAGGAATAAAGAGGACTTCCGATGGTATTTCCTTAGTCGAACCTCCGCTAAGATTGGATTTGCTGAGCTGTAAGCATTATAATGTTTATTGTTTTTTTTTTTTGTCTTTTTGTAAACATTATCATGTAGTAGTAGTTAAGTAATTTACAGTTAACCGCTGAGTTGATAATGTAAATTAACCATCGTAAAAAGTTTTTTAATTAAAGATGACTTTTCTAACGTTAGCCCTTCGTCAGAGCTGGACTGTTACAGCAGTCTGATCCTTACGCTTTCAGCCTCACGGGGACCGTCTCCCCACTCAACTTAACGTTTCGTGTTTCAAGACTGTTTAATTTCTTTGTTTAAAGATGTAAAAATTATTTCTAACTTGATTCTAAATTACACAAAAGAGTAATGCAGAAAAACGATCAGTCACAGGTTTTCCTTCTCTGGTGGTCACGTTACATACATCTTTCACATTTCCGTCGGAGGATTTTGCATCTTGGGAAAGTTTATTGTGACGCTCTTCAGAGTGGTATTTGTTTTCAATTGCTGTTTGTTTAGTGTTTGAGTTTTTATTGCCTCTCCTGTTGTTTTAGAGGTTTCACTTCCCATTGGTCATAAAAACTAAGGTTATTATCTATCATTGACAGCACTAACCACCGATGACTCGCGTGAATTATCGTTTGCGTGTAGTAACCGCCATATTGTTTGGCTTCAGCCACCCTGAACAACCAATCCTAAAATATACAGTTTGCTGCGTCATCGACACAGCTGCGACAGCGGAGACACAGCGGTCAGATGTTTGCGCATGTGCAACGTTGTAATGATCATTAGCAACGAAATGGAACGAACGTGCCTTATCCACCGAACAAGTGAACCCATTTTACCGCTGTGTTGGTGTGTTGATTAGCGATCATAATTGACGCTCTTTTATGAACCAAGCAGTCTCAAACGAGTTACAATCAACCACACAAGTCAATAATTCACGGTGTTTTAAAAGCGTACAACCTTTTCCGATAAGCTCAAAACAGAATGGTAAATCAACAGGGTTACCCGTACTTGAATAAGCTTCATGTCCAAAAAGTCTGGAGCTTTTCCTTTCCCTTGTTTTGTTTTGTTCTGAGAGATTCTCTGAAATTTTCAACTGTTTTCGACTACATTATTTTGCGAGACAGCGGTTGCTTCTTCTGTTTTCCATTGAAGATCTTCGCGCGGAAACCGGGGCGCGGCCGGCCAGAATTAATCCCCTCACGCACGGCTGACATTTGACCACTGTGTTATTTTAAGGCCCAGCCTCCTTATCATGTTGGATATTATGCCTTCTGTTCATACCGTAGCGGCTATATTCAGATTCAAGCTTCAGAGTCTTCTCAACGTAACTAGATACGTGGTTTCTCTTTTTCGCAAACTTTTTCTCTGATTCTTGACATATGCTCCCAGACTACATCGAGAAGGTGGGACTATTTTCGTATCCAACCAGCTTTTGCAGGGAGTAAATGAAGCTGTCAATCTTCGAGTATACTGCCAAAGTACAAATGAGCTTGCATTAATTATGGTTCTTTTTTTCCACTTCCGCTATAGATGTGCCCTTTTCTAGCGATAAAAAAACCCTTACCACAAAAGTGTCGGGCATTACCCATAGTAGAAAGCTATTCGCCCTTTAAGTGAAGACCCAGTGCTGTTCCTCAACCTTACAGGAGCTGTTTTTGAAAAAGAGCCTGTTTACAGGTGAGATATAAAGACAATAAAGCGTGTAGCATATGAAGACTGGAACAGTAAAATGTTCTTCTTGATCTTTTTCCTCCGATTTTGTCTCGTCAAATTTTGGTCTGACAAAGCTTGTGAATTTTCTAGAGTAGCATTTTTTCCCACGTTCAAAAAGAAATGAAATCCGTACAAAGAATTTAAGAATGCTTCGATTATCTGGATCCATTCGAACGACTTTTCCAGCCCGTTTCATTTGTGCTAAATCATTCTTTTAAGCAAATTCTTTGACTTTATTTCTAGAAATCAATTCAAAGACGGAATCTCTTTATAACACTGGATATTGGCATCAACTTGTTAATTTTCTTCTATTGTTAAATTCTAAAAGTTTTTTATTTTTTATTTTTCTATCCCCCCTTCCCCCCCCCCCACCGCCCCACCCCACCCTCTAAAAACCGTAGCAGCTGGACGAATTAAAAGAGACTATATTTAACATGACGTTTTTAAAATAGCCTCTGCATTAAGTCAATAATTGAGCACGCTATCGTAAAGAAGTGACAGCTTGTTCACATCTGTAAGCATAGCAATCAATTTTATTGACGCCCCCCTTGAATTTTCCCAAAGCGAACATTATCCAGACAGTTTACTTTTCTCAGTTTCGTTTTACAGTCGGCTCAGTTCGACAGTTCCCTGCTGCTCCAGAGTCAAGGATACATCCATAAGATCTTACATTTTAACCATTCTACAAAAGGTAAGCAGATGAAGAATGAGTCATCAAAATTCAAAGTATTTTCTTGCCAAAGAATGTGTATGTTCTAGAAAAGCAAGCTGGTGTATTTGTATTAATAATAAAACTTGCGTGATGCTTAAAGGAACTAGACGTTAATGAGATCCACTTCGAGAGAAGCCTTGAAGTTGACAGCTTCATTATACTCCTTTTTTTCCTCATAGAGAAAAAATATAAAAGTATATATTGCTATTTGGAACAACACAGAGGTCGAAACTAAGGCACGTGCAAATGGGGTCAGTTTCTGGTGCCAACCGCGTTCTACTTTCCGGGGAAAAAGCCCAGTGGAAATTATAAGAAACTACCGGTGTCATGGTGAAACAAATTACACTGTAAAAATGAAACTTTGTGTCTTAAATTTTATCAGAAACCAAAATTGTGTAGGCTCTTAACTTAGTTAAGAGCGAAGAAGTCGTGTTGAACATTGTGAATAATTGGTTTGTGTGTTTTTGTATAACTTTTGTGAGGCAAATTGGTTCTGACAGATGTCTCGTCGCCTGGTCGTTTCAACGTTTGAAAATAAGGAAACTACCGTCACCAGTGAGTTAGTGGGTCATTAAAAGCGATTGGAAACGAACAACGATCCAACCACTAACCATGGATAACCATTTGTATAAATAGGAATAAAGAGGGCTTCCGATGTTTTTTTTTTTTTATGTCGAACCTCCGCTAAGATTGGATTTCCTGAGCTGTAAACATTATCATGTTCTAGTAAGATAATTTACATTTAACCGCTCAATTAAATTGATCATGGAAACTGGCCTCAGTAAAAAGTTTCTAAATCTGACTTTTCTAACGTTAGCCCTTCGTCAGAGCTGGGGACATGTTACAGCAGTCTGATTTGAACACTTTCACCCCTACGGGGACCGTCACCCGACTGAACTTAACGTTTCTTGTTTTAGGACAGTTTGATTTCTCTGTTTAACGATGTAAAAAGCATTTCAAACTTGATTCTAAATTACAGAAAGAAAAGAGTGTCGTTTAAAAAATACTTAATGCTCGTTTACCAAGGTATTTTTGCTCCCACAAATTTTCTACCGTTCAGATTTAATGGCAAAGGTTTGTTTTCGTGACAGGTCAAAAG